AGGAGAAAACAGAAACAAATATAAAACTTTCCAATTAGCTGAAGTATAAAATGGCTTCTACTTACTATTACGTGGTCTTGATTGGCAGTTGAGATTTTGTAAAGCACACTTATCAGCCCCTACTTTGGAGTTCTAGGCTGAGACGTAGGGCTCTTAGTTGGCGCCTTAGTTCGTTTGATAGTTGAAGGCGTAGTACTTCTAGTTGGCGGCGTAGTTCGCCTTCTAGTTCAATGCGTAGGATTTCTAGTGGAGGGAGTCTAGGTCTCCTGGTTCGGGGTGTAGGTCTCCTAGGTGGGGGCGTAGGTGTTCCAGTTGGAGGAGGTTTTTTAATTGGGATAACACCAGCATCACCTGGCTCACCAGGCTGGGCATGAGTCATAGCTATAGTGACTAAAAGCACAGCTCCAAAAACTGGAATTCAACAAGTTAGTTGGAAAATCATATATCGCGACTTAAGAACTTACGGAACACGAAGGAATTCCTGGGCCACATGTTTTGATGATTTGATGATTTCGAGTTTGAGAACGGAAAACAACTGATAGTCATACAACAGCGCAGACCTACTTTTATAGAGGAATCGACATCAGCAAACAAGTGTTCTTCAGATAATACTTGAAATTTTTTTTTACATTTATTTAAAATTTTAACAATACATTTAAAACAAAAGACTGTCTGGAGTGCGTTTATTAATAGCGTAATTGACAACGCAACTAAAGAAGATATTTTTGCAAGATTCCATTTTAGAGCGAAATGCATAAATCCCAAGCCTAGAGCATGGACGAATGGGATAAATCTGTAGCAGTTCCAGTAATACGACAGCTAGGTCAGGGTGGCCTTTTTCTTGCTACATTGCATGTTTTACGTACTTATCTTCGGCTAGTTCTTGCATTCATAAACTAAATGTAGCGATGCTCTAAACGTAAACTTTTCTCTGAACTATAATTTTATTGTAAGCTTACATCACATGTGCATAAAAGTCGTAATTTTTCGTTTGTATGTAAGCTAAAAGAATTACTATCAAGTTTTGGGACTCAAAGCAGATAAAAAGCATTAGCGTTCAACTCTTTCAAAAACAAAGACCATTCACCGTTTCAAAATCGGTTGCAATTATAGAGGTGATGCAGATTTTTGACAGCAATCATTTGTTAAACGTTTTATAATATTTTTTTCCGCCTTCCAAAAAAGGAGGAGGTTATCAGTTCGTCGGAATATTTTTTTTTTTATGTATGTTACCGCATAACTTTGGACCACGCCAACCGATTTCGATAGTTCTTTTTGCATCGGAAAGGTAGATCCGATCATTGGATCACGAAAAAATTAACGGTACTCCTAAATTTTTAAATGAGAATTGAAGTCGGTTTTGTTTTCTACTTTTTTACTTAAAAATTACTTGTTTCAAGACAGTTGGTACTTCAGGCTTTGACAAACTAAGTCATGGAGCCATACTCAGTTGAGCAACACGTAAAAGTGATTCAAACGTTTTGTGAATATAGTTATTATACAAGAAGAGCATTTCTCGCATTGCGTGACCTTTTCGGTCGACAAAACCGGCAATCTGATGAGCCACCAATCAGCCGTTTCGTGCAGGAATATGAAGAAACTGGGTCGGTGAAAAGCATGAAAAAACACGTGCGTTTAGATACACGTCGTTCGGCCGAAAATATTGCTGTTGTGGAACAAAGTGAACATTATCCCGCCAGGATAGCAAACCTTTTATGAAAATGGTCGTTCTGAAAAAAGCTACGCATTTGGCGCTGAAAATCTACATGTAAGTAATAAGTTAACTGTAAACCAAATATTTTTAAAGTAAGCTTTTTAAATATGAACAAGATCGGACCATAAATACCGGTTTACATAATATATCGACTCCTGCGCCACCTATCGCCTAACTCTGAGCCGACTGTGAACTTTCAAGTCTGTAGGTCATCGGGAAGTTGGTAAAAAATTGATTGCAAGATTTGCCCCTAACAATCATACATACATACAGAACAAATTAAACAAGTAATTTTTAGCAAAAAAAACCGACTTAAAAAAAATATATATATATCTATATATTTCATCATTCAATGATCGGATCTAAACCAAATTAGTATAGGACCACCTCTGACATACTACCTTTCCGTTGCAAAAAGGATTATAGAAATCGGTTGACGTGGTGCAAAGTTATGCGGTAACATACATAAAAAAAAGAAAAAAAGAAAAATATTCCGACGAACTGATAACCTCCTCCTTTTTTGGAAGTCGGTTAATAAAAGCTTGTAAATACGAGTCACTATTTGGTGTGGTTTTTGGCCTGGCGAAGTCATCAGTCCGTACTTTTTCGAAAGTTATGCCGGTAACACTGTTGCGGTGAACGTTATCGTGACTTAATAACAAACTTTTTATGGCCTCGATTTCATTTTGTGGTCTTGGACATATTCTTTTTTCGCATGAAACAATGGCCCTATTGCGAACGGATTTCCCAGGGCGCACAATCTAACGCGGTGATTCCAAAAGTGGTTAGGGTGGACCCCCCGGGGTCCAGGGAAGACAAGATGGGGATCTACGTTGGCCTAAAAAAACATGGAGGTTCATGAGTACGTGGGCGTTTACGAAAATTTATCTGGTTTCGGTAGTAAAGAATAAAAATGTTTGCTTGGCTTTACCTACCAATGTAGGCAGCTATTTAATACACTTCTCAAACAAATTAAGGGAGCAAATCTAAATATACTATAATATAACGGAAGAAAATGGAATGGATTTTCATGGAGATTTAACTGGTATCTAGACAGTGACCTCGGACATAACATAGAGTATAAAAAATAGGATCTGACAACGGAGCGTGATCCCTCCCATGGGTATGAAATTTTTAATCAGCAATAACTTCGGAACCGTAAGTCACTTGGTTTTGTAATTTGGTGTGAAGACAGATCTATGAAATATGCTGAAAGTAAAATATCCATATACATACATAATTAAGTTTGTAAAAGGGAGCGTGGAATATCCCAAAGGCGTAAAAATTTAATCAGCTATAACTTAGGAACGATAAGTCACATGACTTTGAAATGTAGCGTGAGGAAAAAAATAAAGTGGGCGCTTATAGTGAGGTAAATATAAATGAGTTTGTACAAGGGCGCGCGGCATATTCCATAGCCTTGAAATTTTACATTTGCTATATCCTCGGACACGGACTTTGAAATTTGCTGAGAAGATCTATGGTAAATGTATGCAAAGGAGTTTGTACAAAAGATCGTTGCGTTTATAGTAGATGAACTGAAAGATAGTGAGTGTTTACGTGTTTACCAGGGGTACATTCAGAGAACCACAATCCTGGGCTCGAATCGTAATATCCGTTCACGGATCGAAAACCATACGAAAGAAAATTACGTGATACCGTCAGTTGTATAAGCTACATATTTGGTTGAAGAACGCCCTATTTCAGAATATGATTAAAAAATGCCCTATCTCACTTCAAAATGTATTGAAAATGTGCTGATATAGGGCGTTTTTGAATCGGCAGCTGAGATAGGACGAATTCCGAAATAGGGCGTTCTTCATCCAAATTCTGAAATAGGACGTTTTTGAAAAGTTTTTTGAGATAGGGCGTTTTCGAACTGGCTGCCGAGATAGGTCGACCTTTCACTCAGCAGTCGATATACATATATGTATAATACGCGAAGGCATTTTTTTCGAATAAAAGATCTGCACCGTTCGTTCGATTTTGAAAAATGGAGTGTGAAATTAAAGCTCTTGGCCTTTAGATGTGCAAAATGGTTTTATTTTTTTCGACAGGAGTTGCCACCTGATAAAAAATTACATTCAAATAATTTAATAATCAATACCATCAGATCCAAACCGTTCGTTCGATTTTCCAAAATGAGGCGTCAAACTTAAAGCCTTGGATTATAGATGTGCAATAAGTTTTTACTTTTTTGAAAAGAGTTGCCATCTTCTAAAAAATTATATTGAAATTATTAAAAAAAATAAACCAATTATTGCAAATTGTGTATCAATCGAAATGGTTTTTAAAAGCTTAGTTTCTTAGCTGAACTATAGGAGGGTTGCCAGCTGTTCAAAAAATCATATTAGGTAAGAGAAGTACGTATTACCATATGGGTGGCAAATTAAAGGGGTTTTAGAAAGTAGTATTTTGAAAATATTTTGAAGAGTGTTGCCACCTGCTTGAAATGTCGAATTTAGTCAACTTATACACAAGTTATACAAAATATTAAAGTATGGATGTCAAACGAAGGAGTGTTAAGAAATCTTTAGTTTGAACGCCAAGAATATTTTTGAGGTCAAAATGACGCTGTGTGTGTGCGAAAAAATGAAATTAAAAATAGAGTATGTACTTTTTATATTTACCCAAACCCAGAGCCATACATATGTGATATTACCGAATAGATTGAGACAGAATTTGATTAAAACTACATACTTGGCTGTGTAATAAAAGCATTTTTTATTGAAAATTGGGTAATTTTTACCCAACCATTATAGAAAGGTTAAAAATAACATCGACTAATATTGACGGTTTAATATTCTTCAGATAGAATTTTGGCCCAGTTTGCTTCGCTGTCCTCAAAAACTAAATTCAGCAAAGTAGGAAAATACAACTTTTAATGTCCTTGTAATGTAATACTCAGGCCATGAATTACATACGTTATTCCAGATAAATGCGAGTATTAAATCTGACAATTATTACGATTTTTAGAAAAAACTTCACTACAGCGCCATACAACAAGTCAATTTTAGGCCAACAGATTTAGTTTTCCTAATAAATATGTACATATGTTGTTTCGAATAGGATTTAAAAAGGAGTTTAATATTGTACATCGATTCGAACTAAAGAAAATTGTCTAAATATTCTCTTTAATCGTTGGTCTGATAATTGTTTGTATTTGTATTTAAAACAAAGTGGGCTCCATATGAAATCACGTCATTTTATTGCAAGAAAAATAACTTTTTATAAGAATTAATGAAACATATGTATTCATTTATGTATGTATGCATTTGTGGCGAAAATTTCATATTTAACATCAATTAGTTAACATTCTATCAATCATTGTGTCTCTAACTTATTAGCGGCAGGTTCCCCAAGTTTTAGCTTTTCGCAATGGCTGACTTATAAAGGGCCAGTCTAAAAATAGAGGAGAAAACAGAAACAAATGTAGAATTTTCCAATTAGCTAAAGTGTTCAACGGCTTCCACTTACTATTACGCGGCCTAGATTAACAGTTGAGAGTGCGTAAAGCACATTTATCAGTTCCTAGTTCTGTCTCGTATACTTTGGAGTAGCTCTCTTAGTTGGCGGCGTAATTCGCCTGCTAGTTGAAGTTGTAGTTGTTCTAGTTGGCGGCGTAGTGCGTCTTCTAGTTGAACGCGTAGCACTTCTAGTTGGTAGATTAAAGGTCTCCTGGTTCGGGGTGTAGGTCTCCTAGTTGGGGGCGTAGGTGCTCCAGTTGGAGGAGGTCTTTTAGTTGGGATAACAACAACACCACCCGGCACACCAGGCTGGGCATGTGTAACAGCTATAGTGATTAATAGCACAGCTCCAAAAACTGGAATTCAACAGGTTAGTTGGAAAATCATATATTGCGACTTAAGAACTTACGGAACACGAAGGAATTCCTGGGCCACATGTTTTGATTACTTGATGATTTCGAGTTTGAAAACGGAGCACAACTGATGCTCTTACGACAGCGCAGACGTACTTTTATAGGGGAATTGACATCAGCTTCGCAAACCGTGCACCGTGCCAGGTTTTTGCAAGACTGCGATAATACCCCTATTGTAACAATACATTAAAAACAAAAGACTGTCTGGAGTGCGTCTATTCATAGCTTAATTGACAAAGAAACTACAAAAGATATTTTTGCAAAATTGCACGATAGCGCGAAATGCATAAATCCTAAGCGAAAATATATAAAAGTGTACGAGAACACTCCAGTGCGAAATTGTAGCATGCATAGGTAGTAAGCAGAAAATATTTGTGTCGAATAAAATAACAAAATATAGCAAAAAATGGAGCGAATGAAATGAGCGGCCTATGTACATATGTAGCAGTTTCAATAACAGAACAGCTCCATGAAAATATAGCTCAACCCTGTAAATGTGCATACTTTATACACTTAACCTCGTCTAGTTCATGCATTCATAAACTTTATGTGGCGATGCACTAAATGTAAAATTTTCTCTAAACTATAATTTAATTGCATCCTTGCATCCGATTTCAATAAATATTTTCTCTTCTTTTTTGGGAGAGGATGTATTAAAATTTGATAGTATATTTCTTCTGGATCAGGTGGCGACAACTCCAATTCGTAGTCGGGAACGTTATCGTGCCAGGATAACAAACGTTTTATGAAAACGATCGTTCTGCAAGCAGTGCCTCATTTGGGGCTGAAAATGTACATGTAATTCAAGGAAAAACTATGCATCCACAACGAGTCACTGTTTGGTGCGGTTTTTGCGCTGGCGGAGTCATCGGACCATACTTCTTCGAAAACTATGCCGGCAACTTTTTATGGCCTCAGCTAGATGGCATGGAGTTGGACAATTCCTGCGTGGTGGGCATTTAACAGATATTGTGTTTCATATATAAATACAGTAAAACCCGATAAAGTACCTCACGAAAAATGTCAGCTTTTTGAGGTACTTAGGCGGGTTGGGTACTTAAAAGAACCCGCTTAAGTACCTCGATGCGAGTACTTAAGCGAACATAATTATTGATGTAGATACATCTTCTTGTTAACTTGCATAAATATGTAAATCCTTGATTAAAACATGAACATTTAATGAAGTATACGTAGTTTAAAACCAAGATCGTAGCATTATCTAAACAGATAAACAAATAAAGAAATTTGTAAAAAAAAAATAGATAAAGCAACGGTATGTAATTTTTACAAGAACTACATTCTTTAAAAAGTCATTGATTATACATGTTTATAGTATAAATATACCATATAAACCTAAGCTTAAGATTTTGTAGAACACTTAAAAAAACGTATCAAAATTTCAAACTTTTTACCCAGAAGATTTTTTTTTGAGTATAAAGTTTTATTGGCCTTTCAATTTTAGTTTAATAATGTGCAAGTTTCAAGTGGCTAAAAATTACCGTTGATTTTTTTGAATTTTTTTGCCGAAGGTGTTTAGCGCTGCCACTGAATTTCAGAATATGTATGTAAGTATTTTAAGGAATATTAAAAGAGCACTTAAAAGGGGAAAATTATAAGTAAAATGGGAAATGGGGTACGAAAAATTTAGGTACTTAGGAGGGTTGGGTAAATAAGCGGGGAGGTACTTAAGAGAGGGATTTTCTTCAGAATACATTAGAAAATTCATGGTGTCCAAAAATGTTGGNGGGGGGGGGGGTACTTAAGCGGGTTTCACCATAGATAAATCGTTCAAAGAAAGTAAAGGCTCCAAATTACGCCAAAATTGAATCATTCGGGCTTGATATATCTGTTTGTTTTTCGGGAATGCTACTTGTCTTGAGTGCTGGCTTCTCTTGCGATTGATAACTCGCTTGGTTTTAAATCCAGCGATTTTCCAATGAAAAACACAGAATTCATTGCCAAGCATAGTGAATGCTTAATTTCAATCATTTAAATTACGTTAAATAGCAAATAAAAGCTGTGATAGCCGGCAAAGCTTAAGGTTTATTTTCACTATGTCAAATTCAATGGAATTTGTCGTCAAATAAGTGACAACGCGTTGCCAAATGAGATTAAAAAGCACTATATTGATGGGTTTCTATCGGGATATATTTTAAGTCGAGTACGTGTGCTGATAAATCGGCGATCTGTCTGTTTTTGGCACATAATATTATCGGTAAAGGTATGGATCAAGGAGATAAAGTTGTGTCAAAATATATCGGCAAATTTTGGCCTCAAAATATAGCATAGTGAAAACCAACCTTTACGCATATAATCTGGCATACATATGCGCATAATAATTTTACCCTAACAGACGGCAGTAATGCGGCTAAACGAGCTGCAAGGTCGTGGGTTTGAGTCCCACGGCCAGTAGAATTTTCATTTATTTCATTTTAATTCTTTTTTTCTATATTTTTTTTAAGTAAAATTAAATGTAGTAAAATTAAATATATAAATCAAATGAAATAAAAAAATATAAAACAAATAATAAAAACAAAAAAATGTTTTCGCAATCGCTCCAACCGATGATCGAAAATGGCAGCCGCAGGCTTGTAGCCCGCAAACCCTCTCGACTACTGCGGACGCGAAACTCGCCTGCTTTGTTTGCTTACTTGTACAAAAGGTAATTCCCAAAAATTTTGTGCATTTGTTCGCCACTTGTGCGCATTTTAAAGAGGAAAATGCATGAGTAAAAGCAAATAAGGGCTGTTTATGCAAATAATCGAGCCCGTTTGTCATCCGTGTAAGATGTTGAATGGATTAATTTAAATTACTTAATTGTGCAATAAAAGCTTTTTTTCTGGAAATTGGGAAATTTTCACCCAATCACTGTAGAAGGGTCAAAAGAACCATCGATTAACCATGGACAGTTTAATATTTTTCCGGTAGCTCGAGTACGTTTATAGAATACTACTTTTGCCCGCTGTCCTAAATATGGTTTGTTTGCTAATTAAATTAAATAAAATTAAAAAAATAAAACTTTTTGTGTCCTTTAAAAGTAAATAAGTTTCATGAAATACGTCGAACTTAACGTCCGTTGTTTAGCGAATTCTTTTCTCCCTTGGCAGATCCTTTCAGGCCATGACGAGTATTAAATCTGGCAGTGAGTACGATTTTTAGAAAAAACTCGACTCCAGCGCTACACACATAGGAAATTTTAGGCCAAGAGGTTTTGGTTGCCTTAAAAATATTCATTTATTTGTTTTGAGTATTAACTAAACCGAGCTGCAAATACAATCGCCACTCGCGCGCACTGCCGTGCGCTGTGATTTTAACATTGTATCTCGACTCCAACTCAGGGAAATTTTGTCACCACATAGCTACTTCTATCTTCTACTAAATCGTCGGTCTGATAATTGTTTTTATTTGTATTTAAAACAAAGGAGGATTCATATGAACTCACGTCATTTTATTACAGGAAAAATAATATTTTATAGCAATTCTTGGAAATTTAAATATTTGCATGTACATATATTACATTTATAATCCTTTCAAATAGCGGCGTGTGCTTCAATTTTCGCCTCTCGTAAAGATTTTGCCTGGTAATAGAAAAAATGCGCTTGGTCTCCTCCTAGTAGGAGGGGGTGCTAGTGATAAGAGTAGCTCTCCTAGTTGGACACGTAGGCCTATTAGCTGTTGGCGTACATCTTCTAGTTCAAGGCGTAGGTTATCTATTTGAGGGAGTACAGGTCTCCCAGTCGGGCGCGTAGGTCTCCTAGTTCGCGGTGTAGGTCTCGTAGTTTCCGGTGTAGGCTCTGTAGGCGGTATTGGGTCAACAACAGACACATCTGGCTCATCAGGCTGAGCTTGAGTCATAGCTATAGTGATTAAAAGCACAGCTACAAAAACTGGAATTCAACAAGTTAGTAGGAAAATCATATATGTACCACGACTTAAGGACTTACGGAGTACAAAGAAATTCCTGGGCCACATGTTTCGATGCTTTGATGATTTCGAGTTTGAGAACGGAAAACAACTGATAGTCATACAACAGCACATATGGACTTTTATAGTTGAAATAAACATCACGAAACAAGTGTTCTTCAGATAACACTTGCAAGTTTTTTAACGATTGTTTCAAATTGTAACAATACATTTGCGAGAAAAAACTGCCAGCGCACAGTGGAAGATTGTGGCTCTAAATTAAAAAAAAATAAGGAAGTAGTAAAACTATTTTATTATAGCGATCGACAGACATCACGTAGGATAAGGAAAAGCAAAAAATTTAATTTTTAAATTGCTTTATGTTAAGCAGTACAGGGAACCCAAATTTCAGCAAAGACCATGCCATTTTATTTATCTATATATATAAAATAATAGCCGTTTCCGTTGTTCGGAGGTAACTCAAAAACTCGCTAGGTGGCGCTGGAGTCGAGTTATTTATAAAAATCGTATTTATCAACCGATTTATTTTAAATTCAAAATGTAAGCTACCAACATGATGGAAAATACGTTTTTAAAAAATAGACCCGCTAGGTGGCTTTATGAGCCGATTTCGATCAAATTCAAATTATAAGCTACCTGCATAATGAAAAAAGCATTTGCGAAAAACGGACCCGATAAAAGCCCTATTTATGAACCGATTTTGTTAATGCAAATTCGAAAGGTTTATTACTTTCGTGATGATTTTTTTTTTCGAAACACATATATGTACAATAAGTGGTCCAATTTTTGTATGGGGAAAATTTTTTTATTCTAGAACCCGCTATATTTTATAAAATCTGATTGAAATTCGTAATGCGTATTCATTTCATGACAAGCAGTGGTTTTGCAGAAAAAGGACCTAATGAAATATATAGAAAACCACACGGGGTTTGGTCTGCTTTGGCCCCATATTCATCTTAGACGAATTTACTTTTAATATGGCTAAATGGGGGATTCGTTTAAGTGTGCATGTAAAGACCGCAATATTGTGTAAGCGCACCTTGGCCTGACGCCCTCATACATACACCCTAAATGCGACCTTGCACCTACCTCCGATTGACGAAATCGTTCGGGGAGGCCGTTAGTACAGCAGTAAGACTCAAAGAAACCAGTTCATAAATATTAAGGTGAATTGTAAAAGTGGCAAATTGGCAAGGAAATATTCGACCACATCCGTAAAAAAAGGAACACGGTAGGTTTATCAATGGCTTCATTTGAACGATATTTAAGAGATCACACAACTCATTTAGTAAATGTACGGGAAAACTTTTCATCCTGTGTGGGGGCGAGGATTCTTGGCTCTCGTACGACTGAAAACGCTCATCTGTACTCTTTAGTTTCCTTATAAGGACTTTTATTGGCTTACAGCGTACATCAGACCAATGTTGAAGTTGCAGGATCATAGAAGAATATTACACACGCTTGGCAGAGATCTCACATATGGAAATAATACCATCGGTAAAACTCGTGACATCGAAAGGGATTAGTATTCCATGTGGTATCACAGCGCTACTACTCTTGGCCTATGTGTGAGGAGGATTCTGTTTTTTATTCGTTTCAATTTAACCTAAAAATGTTTACTTTACAGACCGCTTTTGCTTTTAAACGCTATTTTTGAATTGGCCACCGCAAAAAGTATATGTATACTTTATTTATATACCAATTTATAGGAATTGATTTCATATTTCATAAAAATTAATACTCTTGTTGTCGCCATTCACATCTGCATTTATATGAATTTTTAAATATTGATAAAAAAAAGTGTTGACAACTAGTTTCTTTTTTGTTAATATTAAATTTAAATATTAAAAAAAGAAAAACAATCATCCCTTAATTTTTTTATATAACTTGAACCCATTTTAGCATTAAAAAAATATATATGTATTTGTATGCCGTAATTTTTTAATGTACGATAGCCCCACGTACGCTTTATGAATAGCCAACCTCAATTTTATCATTCGCATGCACGTTTTGTTTTATTTATTGATTTTTTACGAAAGCTGCATATGCGCGGGCATTTATTATACATGAACGTATAGAATACATTGTATAGCTGTAGGGAAGGAGCATTTGATTGGCATATTTAGCAGTTATTTATGTTTTTTAATCGCTAACATATTATCTAATGCAATGTTACTTGTAACCAGTGTATTTCTGGAGTCGAAAATAAGTACTTAAAGAGAATTTGACGGCAGATTGAATAGCTAAGTAAACAGCATATTGAATTCATATTAGAAATTTTATAGAAGTCTACGTTAGAACTAGCATTGTCTCAATTCGAGACAATTGTCAAGTGACATTCTGACTAGTTTTGGCTATTTCTCTTTCATTTATTTAAAGTTTATTTTTTTTTTTATAAATTTTAGCATTTTACCAAACCAGCGCTACATAAATCCACATTTAAAACTTCGTACAAAAATTATGAAAATTCAACAAACTTTAATATTTGCACCCAAAAATTTTAAACTTTTTATTCAGAGTTTTTTTGTTAAATTATGGGAAGTGGGAAAGTGAAAATTTCGAGACGCTAGAAGATCGCGTTAATTATTAATTATTTTTTTTGCTGATGGTGCTAAATAGGCATTTTCTCCCACACAAACGAAATTGTCGCGCATATTTTATACGGAAGGAAATGCACAACACCGTCAGCAAAAAAAAAATTATTAAAAATCAAACCGATTTTTTACCGTTTTGAAATTTGCACTTCAACCTACTAAAATTTAATGAGCTAAAAACTGCAAACCCAAAATTTTTCTAAAAATTAAAAAAAAAAGTTTAAAGTTTTCGGGTGCAAATGCTAAAGTTTGTTGATATTTCATAATTTTTTTACGAAGTGTGAAATGTGGATTTATCTGGCGCTAGTTAGGTAACGTGCTAGACTTTTATGAAAAATAATATAAACAATAAATAAACAAAAGAAAAATAGCTAAAACTATTCAAAATGTCACTTGACTTAATCAGCTGACCCATTTTTGTTGAGATTGAGCATTCTAGATTTAATAGCTACGAAAATAAGGAAATTTTTAAAATAAATACCTAGTTTGTATTATAAATCTTCTATTAAATCATCGGTCTGATAAATGTTTGTATTTGTATTTAAATAAAACAAAGAAGGCTTCCCATGAAACCACGTCATTTTATTACAGGAAAAACAATATTTTATAGGAATTCTTGAAAATCGAAAAATTCTCATGTACAAATATTACAGTTTTATTTATATTCCTTCCAACTAGCGGCATGTTTTTCAATTTACGCCTCCCGGAAAGAGTTTGCCTGGTAATAGAAAAAATGCGCTTGGTCTCCTCCTAGTAGGAGGGGGTGCTAGTGATAAGAGTAGCTCTCCTAGTTGGACACGTAGGCCTATTAGCTGTTGGCGTACATCTTCTAGTTCAAGGCGTAGGTTATTTATTTGAGTGAGTATAGGTCTCAAGGTTTGGGGTGTAGGTCTCCTAGCCGGACGCGTAGGCCGCCTAGTCGGGCGCGTAGGCCTCCTAGTCGGGCGCGTAGGCCTCCTAGTCGGGCGCGTAGGCCGCCTAGTCGGGCGCGTAGGCCTCCTAGTCGGGCGCGTAGGCNAATTTTTTAATGTACGATGGCCCCACGTACGCTTTATGAATAGCCAACCTCAATTTTATCATTCGCATGCACGTTTTGTTTATTGATTTTTTGTGAAAAAAAAGTTTAAAGTTTTCGGGTGCAAATATTAAAGTTGAATTTTCATAATTTTTGTACGAAGTTTGAAAAATGGATTTATGTAGCGCTGGTAAGGTAATGTGCTAGACTTTTATAAAAAATATAAACAGTAAATAAACAAAAGAAAAATAGCCAAAACTAGTCAAAATGTCACTTGACTTAATCAGCTGACTACAAGGGTATGTCGCATTTTTGTTGAGAAAGCTATGAAAATTTACCGGAATGTTTGCTGGCAAAACAGACTTTGCACATTGTACTGTTACTTCAGAGATGCTAACTGCATTAACCAGGCTCGTAAAAAGGCGGATCTAACCACAATCTAAACCCTTAAAGATAAATATTGTAAATAAAGCATTGCATCATATAACTTAGATAATTCTCTTAATATGAGTTTCGCAGCTTTTGTATGTGTCTTACCCTTCTCCATAAAAAAACTGTTTGCTTCTGTGTTGTTATGGCGTCTAGAATTTGAACAGTGAAGTGAACAACTAATGCTTGAAATACAATACCGGCGAACGGCAAACTTCGCCGAATTGGGCGATGCTGTCGTTCACCGTTCGCCCAGCTATTTCGCCTACTTAAACAGAATTAGAGCGGTAGCGAAAACAGCTGATCCCATTTGGTCGCCTTTATAATTTGGGTGACCATATTTAGAAAAAACTAAACCATATTTAGAAATGAGGAAATGATAACAAATATAAATGTAAAACAAAGAAAGATTATTATAAATAATTTGTTTCAAGCCAGATGTAACGAATCCACAACTATATTTTTTAAACAACAAAAAAAAAAATCGTGTTTAGGCTGTTTTCTTTTAAAACTTTGAAAGCAAAAAAGAAATACGGCCACCTTTGGCACGCACAGCTGTCATCGCCCAGCAGGGCGATAGAAATAAATCTATCGCCATGAAACGCCGCCAAGCGAACTTCGCATTTCGCTTTTGCTGTGTTCAATTTCATATGCGTGCGGGTGTTCTAATTTTGACAATGCGAATTTCGCTGTGGTGAGTTCGCCGTTCGCCGGCATTGTATTTCAGCCATTAAGCTTTCATATTTCTATATTTCTTACTCCCCCTATGTACTATACAAATTATTTGCTACTGTCTTAATTTGGTGTTTAGAAGTGAAGTGATAAAAGAAATGAAGCGGCAGAAGAAGTTTGAAGTGAAAATCTCCGTTTCATGGGAAGTGGGTGTACATACTAAATTTAAAGCTTCCAGCTCAATTATTACTATTTATGGCCAACTTTTGTATGAAACTCTCCCACTGTGCAGCGGTGCATTTTTTATACATAGCCTAAATGACAAAGAAACTACAAAAAATGTGTCAAATATAATAAAAAATACAG